TGCTCTCACTCCTGCAGCAGGAGGCGGTCGCTGCAGATGCCCAGAGCTCAGTCCAGCCTGGAGCGGCTTTATCAGAAGCCTGTGGATGTTTAACCGGCCGGGTGGACCAACACGGAGGTCAGTAGTCCAGTTTGTCACGTACAGCCGGATTTCCTGGAGCTTTTTACTGGCTTTTATAGCCTTTCTGTAATAAATTACCTTCTCTGTGAGGAGACAGCCTCTTTGGAAAGGCTTATTTTACTCTTAACGGACATTTTGCAAACCAGAATGGTTCATTTTAAAATATCACTCCTGCTATAAACATGGATACTGTTTGTGTTTTGTCTTCATTGATACAGAAACAATCCTCTGATAATGTGATTTTAATGTTCTGGATCTTGAGAGAAATCTTCACCCGTACATTTTGCAAACTAGGTTCCGGGAAACTTTCGTTTCTCCTTCATGACGGATTGTTTGATTTTTAATCTCTTTGCTGAATATTTTAGCTTTTAACTGTTTACTTCTTGTAGAAACATCCTCATTGATTAAACTGTAAAAGTGAACTCCTGTTTTGTGTGCAGAGAGGAAGCTTTTACCACGTATTTTGCAAACGAACACAGACTTTTGTTGCATGCAGAATTAATTGGACTTTGACATATAAATACATGCCAACATTCAAATAGTTTCATATTGATAAATCCTGCGTATTATTTTATTTTACAGCACCTTTTGCAGATTGTGTAGGAGTTTCGTGTCCTTGGCGTTCTGAGTTCATAGAATTTAACCTCATAGTATAATGCTGATAATTTCTAATGTTTTATTCTCAGAAAACCTCTTTTATTCATTATGTAAAACTTGTACCGTATATTTTACAAAACTACATTGATTTCAGTTCCGTAGTGGGTGCCGGATTTTTTCCTTTTTGTTACATTTTAAGGATGCACACACATTTAGGTTGTTCTATGTTTTTATGAACAACTTAACTAAAGCTCATTCTTTTACTATGAATTTAGCCAGTTATCAAACGAGTATTTCTCTCTAAAATAAATTATTCATATTCGAAATCAATATTAAAAAAGCAGCAGTTTTCCAGCTTCACTGCTGCTGAATTGACACATTAAGGATTGGTCTTAGAAAGCTCTTGTTTCTAATCTTTGAAGAGATTTAAAAAGTGACGTAATGGAAGAAATTGTGGCTGTTCTATTATTCAAATACAAACAAATCATGAAGTATTTGATGTTCTCAGCCTCCGAGATTCCATCGCAGGAAAGATTAGTTTTTTGTGGGGTGTCAAGAAGTGGCTTTTAGTGCGTCACCTTGTTATTTAGCATTATTTGACGTACCGTGAGGATTTGGGGTCAAATCTGAGAGGACAGGAGGAAAAGAGGATCCAGGAAGCAGCAGCTCATTCAAACGTTGGAGTCCTGAAATGTTGTGGAGTCACAGGTGGGACATTGACATGGAGATCGGCCACCGGTGGGGGGGGTACCGGGGCCGTTGGGCTGCTTTGTCATGCAGAGATGTGGGACAGGCCCACTGTCCCTGCCCCTGTTTCTTCTTTTGTCCGTCTCCTCTGCGGCAGACGCGGCGGCTGCTGCTTTTACAGATGGAAATGTCCCGGTCAGCTGGCCGGACCAAACCGGGCAGACCAGAAACTCTCTGAGCACCAGAGCTCAGACTTTAGTTCAGTTCACGGGGACTTTGGCTCCGCATGAACTGTTAGCAAAGCCCTTAACTAGGTTAATCTGTTTAGCTTAGCTAAGCGTTTCGGCTAAGCTAGCAGTCGCTGTTTACCCTTAAAGCGTCCAGGAGCAGAAGACGTTTTCTCATATTTCCCCCTCAGTTAAGGCGCTGCTTTTGATGTGTTTTTTTAGTTTAAAATGCAGGATTCACACTTCAGCCTATAATCAGACTTTTAAAAAAAATTTTTTTAAACATTTTGCACTTTTTCGTGTCATCTAAGTGTGTTATAAAAAGCATTTTCCTTTTCTCCTCACCTCCATCATCACCTAAAATCACCATTTTAAGCCTTAATTCTGATTGGAGCTGTTAGTTTAGCTGTTAGTTGACATCTTTCCCTCGTTTTGTCGGCGGCAGCTGCTGGTCAGTGGCAGTAAAGTACACAGATCTAACTAAAGGGGACCCAGAGGGGACCCGGCGGGGCTTTTTCAGGCCCCCACAGCAGCTGACCGCTGAGAAAGTTTCAGTGTGTGGGAACGAGGACGAGCCGGACGATCTCTGCCCCCCCGCCGGCCCCCGGAGGACCGGCCACGCTCGCACATGTGAACATGCTTACATGAGAGTGGCTGCTCATCAGCAAACAGGAACTCTGCTCCTCTGATTTTTTCCCTTCACATTTTGACCCCGAGTGGGCTTTTTTCTGTTGCTTTTTTCCCATCCAGCGGTTCTCACGACCCGGCTTCTTTCTGTTTTTAGCCGGAGAGAGAAACTTACCTGAGGCGTCTGGATGCTCCAACCAAACCCGCCCGAGTTTGTTTGTGTGGAAAAAGAGGAGCAAAGTTGGAGAAAGCAGCCCGTTTCTATTTATATCAGCGGGATGCTTCTATGCAGCTATGCAGACTCTTTTATTTCAGTTTATTCTGCTTTTATATGGAGGTTTCCAACAGCTCAATGTGGATTAAACAAGTTATTTTAGTCTCTAATCAGCCTTTTTTTTTACTCATCAATGTATCGTGGCCTCTAAAGTCACCAAACTGTCACAAAATGAATGATTCAATAGCAAAATGGCACCTTTTAGTCTTTATTTAATCAACAGATATCAACCTGTTGGTGTTATTGTCTCTGAATTAAATTGACTCGTTTTCTATAGAACAGACAAATTAACAATTATGGAGCATCACAGAGGATTAAAATGTTTGTTGGACCTTTAACACAAACTGGAGCTTTGCAGTTACACATGGTAACTTTCGGTGCTAAAATGACAAATTTCAGAGGAATCCAAGCTGTCTTTTTTAAATAAATGGATCAATTACAGATTGTGCTCACAGGCAAATGAGTTTGTTTAAGAGTTCGATGTAGTTTAAGACAAACCGAAGCTCAAACGTGGCCCTAAGGACCCTTGAGGGCTAAATTTAGAGCAGATGTCTTCTAAACAAACAACTCAGACCGATGTGCATGTGGAGGAGTAAAGCAAGACAGAAACATCTGATATCCGAGTCTCTGATTGGTCCATTTCCCTCATGCTAGCTGCTAGCTTAAACCATGAGGTCCCGGTTAAACTCCAGGAAAGGAGCCACCATCCAAGCATCCATTGCTTCACATTCAGGGCAAATCAGCTTTTGAGATGAGTTTCTGTGCACGTGCGCGCGCACGGCTCCGGCCGGTGTTGCGTTCGCAGACCGGCCGGTCGGTGGGAAAAGTGGAGCTCCGTCTCCACGGTGACGTGTGAAAAGCCGGGGGGTCAGAGGTCGGCGGTCTGCTGGCATTCTGCTGCTCGGGAGGAGAAAAATGTGAGAAAGGAAGCGTGCACGCTCACACAAAAGGCCCCCCCGTGCACGGTTACACACATTTACAGTCTTGTGTTTGTGTGTCCCGGCGGGGGGGCCGACGGCCTCAAACATTTGCTGCCTTTAGCATCCCAGTTGCTGTTTTTCTCCGTTTTATGAGCGTTTAGCTGCACAGCTGTTCGGCCTTTTTCCACCTTGTCCGTGTCTTCTTCTCTGGTTTAGAAACTCACCAAAACTGCGCCAGTTTTTAGGGTTTTTTCGTGTTTAGTGGGCTAAGTTACACGCTGAGTTTGTGGCTCGGAGTCAAAGAGAAACAAACGCAAAGGCAGCTGGAAGCTGGAAGCGGGGAGAAGGAAGTTAACCAGAAACAGATGCTCCTTGTTGGCAATTGTTGCCACAACAGCAGATGTGACTCATTTGTTTATAGTTGTGTTGACAAATCTGATTTCCATCAAAGCGAAGAAGCGTTGTGATGTTTTAATCCTGGTTTGATGGGCAGGGGCGGAGCCCAGGGGTGGCCAGAGGCGGGGGCACAGCTGGCTCCACACCTGGAAATTAAATCAGGCATAATATGTAAACAGATATACAGAATTGTTTTGCGAAATATAAAAGAAAAATAACCAAATGAAAGGATTAAAGAAGGATTTCCCAACCCACGGGGTTAAAAACAAGCAGGCGTAACTTAAAAACAAATAAAAATGAACACGAATAATTATATTTACATTGAATTAAGGTTGAACCGTTAACTGATGAGTGTGAATTAAATCAAATTAAAGATAGATGTCTTTCACTGGATGCATTAGAGGCAAAAACAGCTAAAAAAAAAGCATAAAACCAGCTAAAATTCTCAGATAAACTCACAAATGACTAAAACCTCTGCTTTGAGTAGTTTTAAATTAATTAAACGCTCATTTGGGGCTTAATAAATCAGAATAACGCAACATATTTGACAGGAAAAAACAAAATCTGATGTCAGTTTTGTCCGATATCTTTCCTATTGAAAGGACATCTTAAAAAACCTTGTCAGACGTCATTTCCCCTTCAAAAAGAGAAAGAAAATCACTGTTGCAAACTCCATTTGGGGAGTTAGCTTTCCTCTGCAGAAGCTTGAGGAAATCTCCCTCCACAGAAGGCGTCTGGTGGCTTTGGCTGTGTTATCTGTGAGCGGGGAGTGTGCCGCCGCCTGCGTCGGGCTTGTTATTGTGCTCATATGTGGGCAAAAAAACAAAAAAAACAAAGCTCGGAGGTTCGCTTCCTTTCATGTGGCAGAGCGGCTTCACACAGGCCGTCTTCGCTCCGTCTCAATCACTCTGCTAGAGAGCTAATGGGCTCAGGAAGTATAAGCTTTCACTCCCACACACAGAGAGACACAACCTGCTGCGGGGAGAGAGCAGGGCAGCACAAAACGCTCCCAAATCAAGGACGTTAGGCGGCCGGAGGGGGGGAATAACCAGATAAAGCACAATCATCTGCGTGCAGAAGAAAGAGCTCCATTCAGGAGCACCAGGTGAAAAGTCACTTTGAGGAGTAAAAGCTTCACGTTTAAAGGCGGAAATGGCTTTTCTGCTGGGAGTTTCAGGTCAGAGAGAGCAGGTCAGTCCAGTAAGAAGCCTTTAAAATACACAGCCCTCGTCTTTAGTGGCATAAATAGGCCAAAATATTACAAGTGGCCCCAAAAGATTTGGTCCTTTACCTCTTAAAACCACAGGTAACACACACACACACTGTTGTTTCTTCCTCCTGGAACAGGAGTCAGGCTGTCTTTAAGAATATAACCATCAATTCAGGTGTCCTCATCCTCTGAATATTAAAGTAAAACGACGAGGAAGTGAATGGAATTAATGAGATTGGCTCACACAGTCGGGTGGATCCAGGTGAAATAGAGGAAAATGATTAAAGTTGTGCAATCAGAGAAGAGGTTTGGTTAAAATCCCCCCCAGAGGGAGGATTTGGAGTCTGAAAGTCGCTTCTTTTCTGTTGTTTTTTTGTTGATAAAAGGCCAAAAACATGAACAAATATCAGAACTCTGAATGGTTTTGTTCTTGTTTGTGTTCCTGAATTCAGATTAAAGGCAAAAACTAATGAAAAACATGCGGGAAAAGTGTTAAAAACATAAGATGATGTTGAATTCAAAATCCTGAACATTTTCCCACAAACAGTAAATCTTTATCCTTTTCCTAATACATGCGTCCAAAGAAAAACTTGGTCCTTAAAGGATTAAAGTCCTGAGAAGGTTAAACTTGCTCGGTATTCAGACAAAATGTGTAATCTGGTTTTATTTTGTTTGTGAGGGTGTCTGACCCTGAGAAGGAGAAAATATAGAAGGTTAGAAACAAAAAAAAAACTAATTCTTACTGTGCAAATACATTAATATTGACTACACTTTCGCTGCTATTATTACTGTGGATGAGTTTGGTGATACCACTTAAATTAATTGGATTAGATGATGTAACACGTTAAGTCACAGTTGCATATTTTAGCTTTAAAAAACAAAGAAAAGCTTAAGGAAGTTTTCACAAATGCACCAGAAATGGAGAAAGCTGGGCCTCCGGCTAGCGTTTCCCAGCATTTCAGGCTTCAGATTACTCAGCAGAGGAGCCGGTCTGTTTTAGTCTGGAGAAACCATGACTCGGCAGAGGAGCCGATCAGTTAGTCTTTTCCACTCACTTTTCGTCGTTTACCTGCTAAAAACCACTAAAATCCCGAAAACTCATAACCCCAACCAGTGAAAAAGTTTGTTTAAAAAAAACTTAACCCTAATTCTTTAGTTCCACCTACAGTATATTAACCTGACTACATTTTTATTCATTGTTTTGCTGCTTGTTGCATTTATTTTGGTTGTTTTGCTGCTACTTTTACTTATTTTTAGTTGTTTTGCTGCCTTTTCCACTTCCTTTTTGGTTGTTTTTCTGCTTTTTCTACTTATTTTTCACTGTTTTACTGCTTCTTCCACTTATTTTTGGTCCTTTAGCTGCTAACGACCACTAAAATCCCGAAAACTCGAAACCCGAACACGTAAAAAAGAGGCCAAATGTCTTCTAGAAAACTTCCATCTGCCTGAACTGAAATTTTAAAGCTTGTTTCTTGTTTTCTCCCCCTTCCAGAGCCGTGTCTTTTGGTGGAAACATGCATCCGAGGTGGGGATTCTTGCTGTTCCTGGCCGCCGTGTCGGTGGGCGTGGGCGTTGCCGCGCCGACGGGGATCCTGTACCGGGTCCCCGAGGAGCAGCCTCCCGGCACGCTGATCGGCAGCCTGGCGTCGGACCAGGGCCTCCCCGACACGGGGCACCTGTACAAGCTGGAGGTGGGCTCGCCCTACCTGAGGGTGGACGGTAAGACGGGCGACATCTACACCACCGACATCTCCCTCGACCGCGAGACGCTCAAGGAGTGCCGCAACCTCTTCGAAGACGAGCAGTGCCTCATGGAGTTCGAGGTGTCCATCACCGACATGGTCAAAGGCATCGGCATGGGCCCCAGGCTCATCGAGGGCCTCATCGAGGTCCTGGACATCAACGACAACACGCCCCAGTTCTCCTCGCCCATCCTCAGCCTGTCCATCCCGGAGAACACGCACATCGGCGCCCTGTTCTCCATCCCCATGGCGAGCGACCGGGACTCCGGCGCCAACGGCGTGGCGGAGTACTCGCTGACCACCGGGCCGGACGCCGACATGCTCTTCAGCCTGCAGGTGGCCGTGGACTCGGACGAGAAGCTGCCCCAGCTGGTGGTGATGGGCAACCTGGACCGCGAGAAGAAGGACTCCTACGACATGAACATCCGCGTGGTGGACGGCGGGAACCCGCCCCGGGCCAGCAGCGCCCTGCTCAGGGTCACCGTCACCGACCAGAACGACAACGCGCCCAAGTTCGAGAGGAGCCTGTACGAGGCCGAGCTGCTGGAGAACAGCCCGCTGGGCCACTCCGTGCTGCAGGTCAGTAGCCAGGACAACCCCTGAACTTTGACCCCAAGTCAGTACCCCGAATACTGACCCTAAAGCATCTTAAATCATGATGCTAAATCGTGAACCTAAGAATCAACCCTTAATCATGAACCTAAATCATGATGCTAAATTATGAACCTAAGTCGTGAACCTAAGTATTGACCCTTGATCATGAACATAATATCACAAAGCTACGTCATGATGCTAAATCATGACCATTAATCATGAACCTAAGTCATGAACCTAAGTATTGACCATAAATCATGAGCATAAGTCATCAACCAAAGTCATGAACCTAAATCATGAGAGAACAGCCCGCTGGGCCACTCCGTGCTGCAGGTCAGTAGAGCCCTCGGTGACCCCTGAACCTTGACCCCAAGTCAGTACCCTGAATAGTGACCCTAAAGCAAGAGCCGTAGATCTTAAGTAATGATGCTAAGTCATGATCTTAAGTCATGACCCCCAAGTTATTACCCCAAAGACTGAGCCTAAGTTATGAATAAATAAGTCATGATGAATTCATTGACCTAAATCATGAACCTAAATCATGAACCAAATTCATGACCATAAATCATTAACCTAATTCGGGACTATAAATCATGATCCTAAGTGTTGACCATCAATCATGAACCCAAATCATGATCCTTAGTATTGACCATTAATCATTAACCTACGTATTGACCATCAATCATGAACCTAATTCATGACCATAAATCATGAACCTAAATCATGACCATAAATCATGAACATAATTCATGAGCCTAAATCATGAACCCAAGTCATAAACCTAAATCGGGACCATAATGCCCTAAACCTACTCAACAGCACGGTTTATTTAGCTTTCCTTTACAAATGAGATTACGAAGAAAACTTCCGATTGTTGCCGATTTCCCCCGTCTGTCATCACAGAAATGATTGGATAAAAAATGGCACCACTTTTAGTGAAATCCCTCTCCGGCCAATCAGGAGCCTGCAGGTTTCAGCTCCAATCCGCTAACTGGGAAAACTGTTGGAAAACCCTAAAAACTGATCGCCTCATTCCCAAAAATGCTGCCCTGCTGGGTTGTAAGCAGGTTAACAGAACTTAGAATTAAGTAACTAATTTTGTCTCTGTTTTTTGAAGGTTCAAATGTGCAATTTTAATCGTTTAATCACTCGATCTGTTGCTTTTTTTGAAAGCTGGATATTGAAAGTATAACTTAATTGGGGTTAAATGTCCAATACATTAGAAACATGTTCGTAGCAACATTTCTGATTCCCTTTGAGGTTTGTTTTGATGTAAAATTGAAATATTTTCTAAAGGATGTCCAGGAATTCTGCAAAAGCAAACAGCATCTCCTTTTAGCCGGGTCATTAATATTAAACCGCCCTTCCTGTTGTCCGATGATACAAATATGGGAGCTCACAGTTCAGCCGGGCTTCACGGTCCAGATCAATGGCTCAGAAAATTAGGTTAAATGGCTCCCGTCCTCTGGGACTCCATTGTTAAAGCTGCACTACAACTGATGGACAGGACAATTAAAGTGGAGCCAGAGGTGTATGACGGGCCAGATCTGCTGCCTGGAACGGGAAGCAGGATGTTTAAGACTCTGAGTCACTTTTGGGGAAATCAGAGAAGAACAAGCCTCCAGGGGTAAAGATTTCCTCTCACAAACAGCTTTACACGTCACATTTTCAGCTCTAATCCGCTGACTGGGAGCTGCTGCCTGTTGGAAAACCCTAAAAACCGATCGCCTCATTCCCAAAAATGCTGGGTTGTTAGCAGGTTACACACAAACTCCAGACGTTTAAAGGACCCATCTAGCTGCTTATTGACACAGAAAAGCATTCACTCATTACAGAACTAAGAATTAAGGGACTAAAACAAACCAAAGCAGCTCCTCCAGGATTCGGTTTCTGCTTTTTGAGCTTCAAATGTGCAATTTTAGTCGTTTAATCACTCGATCTGGGTTTTTTTGGGAAATATGGATACTGAAAGTCAAAGTTAAAGTCAGATTTTTTGTCAGTTCTGTAATACATAGTAAGAATCTAAGGTTTGTACTCTCATGCTCACAGACAACACAGTAAAAATTAGAAATAAAAGTCTCAATATAAGAAAAATTAAAGAGCATAAGTAGAAACTATCAAACAAATGGCAAACCAGTCAACTCTAAGTATAAATATAATAAAAAATAAAAGATTTTGATAGAGTTTTTTTTAGTAAAAAGCTTAGAATAAAAGGCAGTGGTGAGCTAATCGCACTGGTCCTGATCCAGGATGAGAGTTTTCTCTGTTAGCAAACATCTGAGGGGAACCTTTGGCCCCGATTAGTCTGGAAGCTGCAGGATGGCTGCACACATTACTTAAAGTATAACTTAAGCTATGCTAAAGTAGTAACTAAACAAAGTAGAAACTAAAGTAGAAACTAAAACTAATGTAAACTAAATTAGTAGGAACTTAAGTTATAATAAAGTCTAACTTAATTGGGAGCTTCATAATTCTATTTTCTTCCCTTTTTTTTTTAAGTAAAAAGTTTATTATTACTACTTAAAGTATAACTTGAAGTATACAGTACTAGAGTATAAATTAAGCTAAGTATAAACTAAAATATAAACTAAACTAATACAAACTAAACGTAGTATAACTATATAAAGTTAAACTAAACTGAAGTCTAACTTAACTGAGTTCTTCAGAATTGTATGCATGTTCCCTTTTGTATTTTAGTAAAAATTGTATTATTGCTACTTAAAGTATAACTTAAAGTATGCTAAAGTAGTAACTGAACTAATTATAATGTAAAGTATAAACTAAACTAATATAAACTACACTTAGTAGAACTTAAGTTATGATAAACTAAAGTCTAACTTAACCTACTTCTTCATAATTCTATGGGTTTTCCCTTTATTTTTGGGGTAAAAAGCCTATTATTATGACTTAAAGTATAACTTGAAGTGTATTAAAGTATATATACTTACATATGCATATACTAAACTAGTTATAACCTCAAACTAATCTAAACTAAACGCCCGGTTGCCCCCCCCCCCCTCCCTGCTGCTGCTCTCCGTGCATGACTCCGTCTGAGTGGGTCAGGGGATTATCCAGGGGGCTTATGGGAGTTCACAGGCCCAGCGGATCCACTCTGAGACGCCTCCGGGTCAGCGGGGGGGCGGCTGACGCCCCTGACCTGCTTACACCGTCCAATGGCGGCTCGGGCTGGCACAGGCCCGGCGTTTGACTCCCTCTTTACTGCTGCGATCTGCATATCTTAACCTATTTTCTCCTTCCAGTCACCCAATTTCTCACTTCTCCATCCATGCACAGCCCCCGAAAAACATCCACGCATCTGCCTCCTCTCAACAATTCATGCGTTAAAGCACAAAACGCTGCCACCTGGCTCGGTCAGAGAACTCTTAAATAAGGAAGGTTTGATCTCAGGACTATTTTAAAGTGTTTAAATAAAGCTTATAATGGTTAAAGCTCCCCCCGGACTGACAAGCCCACCATTTCTTGCCCTTTAACGCTTATTCGAGCATCCTTTTTTGCCTAATTTAAGCATAAAAAGCTGCTTTCTGGGGGTTTTCGGGTTATGCTGTTTGGTTAAAGTCGTTCTTCCACCCGATTGGTTGGCAGGAATCGCTGAAATGTCAAATTAAAACCAGGAGAAAAGCCGGAAACGGCCCCTCGTCCCGACTGCTCTGGGTCCTCTTTACATCTGCTGACTGATCTTATTACATACCAGAGCATATTTGAGATTATTGAGGGAGATCCCTCCTAAATGACTAATCACTAAATTCCCTATTCAAGACTCTTAAAAAGGAGAATCGGCTCGACGGCGCACTGATTAATCATTTAAAAGAGGCAGCCCGAATACTGTGAAGTCCTCTCTGATCTCCCGTGTAATTGTGATGTCATTTAGCCAACAATAAACCTCGACGTGATGTAAACTACGATGGATTATCTGCACGCTGCTTTTCAAACAGGCTCCTAACGGCTCCCAAACTCGTCAGAAAAAGGATTCGGTTTCAAATATCGCACGGTATCGTCTTGGTTTTGATCGTCTGAAACCTGCGCGGCGGGGTGGGTTTCTGTTTGAACGCGGCCGGGCTGGTGGGTAATTGTTAACCTGGAGATAAGGGGTGTTTATTCTGGCGGTGTGCTTGCTCGGAGTGGCCTTGGAGAGCGGCCAGAGCAGCTCCGGCCTCATCTCAGTGGCCCATGCTCCGGCTGCTCAATACACAATCCTCACAGGCTGTCAATAATTCACCGCTGTTTGGTGATAGCTGCTGCCCAAAGCCAAAGGCCCCGGGAAGGAAATCAATGCGCGGGGGGAATTATAATTTCACTTTCATGCTTTCCTTAACCTTAACCCTTCGGTCTTGGATCAGCAGCTCCCAGGGTCAGCCGGGGGTGGTGGGGGGGGGGCGCTCACAGTCGATGGGACCGCAGTAAACCAGATAATTATGTGGCAGCATGAACCGCAGTCTGGGCTGCAAAGCTAATCTTCACTGTCCCAGATTTCCCACGTTGTAACATATATTTAAAGAATAGCAAGTAAAGGGTTTCTAAAACATATTATACCATGTTTTTTATCCAAAATGTTCAATGATTTCAGCACAAAAATGTTGTTTAGTTGAGTTTCGTTTGATTAATCCTCACAAATTAAGTTAGCTTAGTTTGGCACAAATCTAGTTTAGCTAACCCATCTCTATCTTGTTTAAAGAGAACTAAAAAATGAGTTGTCTTAGCTTCATAACTAAAAGAAATAGTTATCATAGCCTTAGATTTGCATAGCTAACTTTGCTCTGTGTAAAACTAGATCTAGTCAGAGGTTTGTGTCATTTAAACCATCCTCACAAAATAAGTTAGCTTAGTTTAGCACAAAGCTAGTTTAGCTAGTTTTGCACAAGCTAACCTGTGTGGGTTCAGGGCTAAAATAAAACTAAAAATCAGCTAGTTTGATATGAAGACTTGAAAAAGGGGCATAGCTTAATCTTCTGCCCTGATAGTTCATTTTGTTTAGTTTCATCTAAACTTTGTATTTATTTATCCATGAAGTCACAATTGAGATAAAAAAAATCCACTTTTCAAAGGACACCAGCAGGATAAAATAAAACAGTTCATTACATTTAAATGACATGCACAGAGAACTCAAACACAATTAATTTATTCAAATATTTATTGAATAATTCATTTGAAACTCCTGTCAAAAAGTCCCAGATAAATAAACTCTATTTTAAAAACCTAAGTTAAGCTAAACTCTTGCAAATATTCAATAAAATTAAGTATTTTAGGGGTTGGTTGGTGGATTTTTAGTTTAAACTAATATGGATCTGGCATTTTTTATGTTTGAAATAAAGTAAATTGCTTAAATGTTTAGATGTCTGTTGCCACGAGATAGGGTTATATTTATTTATTTAAAAAATATTTTATCATTTTATTTTTCAAAAACCACACTTGCAAAACTCCTTTTTATGTCATTTTAGGACCTTTAGATTATTTTGTTGAGTGCAAACTTGGCTCAGCTTCACCAAGCTCATCAGGAATAATGGTCTTAAAACTTAAAGACCCTAATTACATTACTGTAAGTCTCAGGTGAGCGCTGCACACATGCTGAACCGGAGACATTTATATCAGCCGTTCATTTGATGATGGCCTACATGTTCTTACAGCAGCAGAAAGCACTAAATGAGACCAGTTAAAAAGATTTAGATGTATAGACAGAAAGATATCCAAACAAGTGCAACCAAAGCAATATTAGGCCGCCTAATTGACCAATTACCTTGATTTACTCTGGGTTTGCACACATGAAACTGGCCTGTGACTGCTGTTGGTGGGTCCTCTCCCGTCTCCTAATGGGGCTAGAAGAGCCGGGGCTTTTCTGATAATGAGAGGAGCATTAACATTCACTCATCTGCCCATTAGATGCCAATGACCACTGCTGCATGGCGGCTAGATGTTATTGTGTGGGTGTGTGCACTCGGCTTTGATCTTCTATTATCTTGTTTTTCAGAGAACGGAAACCGCCTCCCCTTTAAAAACATGCAAGGCTTCGTAGCACCATACTAAGAACTGATATGACTATTTCAAACTCACAGAAGCAGCAGGGTGATTAGAATGAGACATAAAAACGGCCACGAGAGGATTTTAATTCCTACAATGCCTTCTGACTGATTTGACTCAGAATTCAAATATATATTTGTGTGATAACGATGCAGAAAATTGGAGCACCGCTGATGAGAGCTCAGTTGTTTTTGTTAACCAGATTCTTTAGTTGAAAACCTAAGACTAAGCCAGAGTACATCAAGAGGAAAAAGTTGACATTTACTGGGTCACAGTTAACTGTATCAGCTGGGCTCTGACAGACTAAAACCTCTTTCTGGGTCTCAGTGGGTTAGAGCCCTGAGATCTGGGTGATGGACATTATCTCCTGGGCTCGATCCGCCTCCTCAAAGGAGGACTGGACACAACCAAGTCATATTGGCCAGTTACCTCTGGGCATGAACAGACCAGGTCCTAATTCATGCAGATGACAGGAATGTGGTAACAAATGGTGTGTGTGTGTGTGTGTGTTGACCTAAAGGTGGATCTAATGCAACAGAGAGAGAGAAAAGAGAGTCTGTGGACACGGCCAGAGACTTCAACACAAAATATAGTTATAAAAGAAAATAAGACAATCAGTAATTTACATAGATCATGTGATATATAGCCAAATTCTAACATTTTGTTGGTGAAATGGTTGGAGTTGTAATCGTCTTTTTTTGCCCTGGTAGGTGAGAGCCAGCGATGCTGACACCGGCAACAACGGAGCGATAGACTACAGCCTCCACCAGCCGAACGACGTCATCCAGAGGCTGCTGCGCATCGACCGCTCCACCGGCATCATCTACGTCAAAGGCCTGGTGGACAGAGAGGAGAAAAGCTCCATCAAGTTCTCCGTGGTGGCCAGAGATCGGGGCCCAAACTCGAAGAGCTCCAAGGCCAGCGTCATCATAAAGGTCAAGGACCAGAACGACAACGCGCCGGCCATCGAGATCCGCGGCATCGGCTTGCTAACCCACCAGGACGGCGTGGCCAACATCTCCGAGGACATGCTGATCGGAAAGCCGGTGGCCCTGGTCCAGGTGTCCGACCAGGACGAGGGTGAAAACGCGGTGGTGACCTGCGTGGTGGCGGGAGACGTCCCGTTCCAGCTCCAGCCAGCCAGAGAGTCGGCCAACGACCACAAGAGAAAGTACTTCCTTCAGACCACCACCCTGCTGGATTACGAGCACGTCAAGGATTACAGGATCGAAATAGTCGCCGTGGATTCGGGGAACCCCGCTCTGTCCAGCTCCAACTACCTCAAGGTCCAGGTCACGGACATAAACGACAACACCCCGATCTTCTCCCCCTCCTCCTTCGAGGTGGACTTCCCCGAAGGCAACCAGCCTGGCGACAAAGTCCTGGACGTGGTGGCGGCGGACGCGGACAGCGGCACCAACGCGGAGCTGGTCTACAGCATAACCGACCCGCTGGCCGCCGGCCTCTTCGAGATCGACGGCAACACCGGCGAGGTGCGCGTGAAGAAGCAGCTGGACCGCGAGGAGATGGAGCGATACCAGTTCTGCGTGGCGGCGGCGGACAAAGGCGTCCCGAGCAAAACCGGCACGGCCACGGTGACCGTCAACGTGCTGGACCGCAACGACAACGCCCCCAAGTTCACCCTGGGCGGCTACAGCTTCTCCGTCATCGAGAACAAGGCGCCGCTCAACCCCGTCGGCGTGGTGACCGTCACCGACGCCGACAAGGGGGAGAACTCCCAGGTGAGGCTGTTCGTGGAGCCGGACAACGGCAAGTTCATCATCCAGAACGGCACGGGAACCATCCTGTCCAGCATCTCCTTCGACCGCGAGAAGGAGAGCACCTACACCTTCCGGCTGAAGGCGGTGGACTCCGGGATCCCGCCTCTCTCCTCCTACGTGGGGGTCACCATCAACGTCCTGGACGAGAACGACAACGCCCCCTACGTCACCAGGCCGGCCAACTCCTCCTACAAGTACCTGGAGTCCGTCAACCCCCCGGAGACGCTGGTGGAGGTGGTGGAGGCCGAGGACATTGACGCCGGGCTCAACGCCGAGCTCTGCTTCTCCATCATCGGTGGCAATCCTCACGGCCTGTTCCAGATCTCGCCCAACGGTGGGGACATCACACTGGCCAAACCGTTTAACGGCAAATACAACGGGCTGCACCGGCTGGTGGTGAAGGTCAGCGATAAAGGCAAGCCTCCGCGACACACCACCGCCCTGGTCCACGTCTTTGTGAACGACACCAAATCCAACGTCTCCCTCATCGAGGCCCTGGTGGGACACAGTCTGTACACGCCTCTGGACAGAGACATAGCGGGAGACCCGAACTACGCCCTGGGCCCGCCCAGCAACATCATCTACGCCATCGTGGCCGGCTGCGCCATCGTGATCCTGGCCATCGTGCTGGTGGTGGTCATCCGGCACCGGCTCCAGAAGGACAACAAGAGCGGCTACCAGGCCGGCAAGAAGGAGAGCAAGGACCTGTACGCGCCCAAGCAGGGCCTCAAGAACGGCAAGGGCAAAAAGAGCAAGAAGGGCAAGGCCCCGAAACCGGCCAAGCCTCTGGAGGAGGACGAGGAGGCCGGCCTCCAGACGGGCCACAAGTTCAACCTGATCAACGACGTCACCGACAGCCCCAGGATCCACCTGCCCCTGAACTACCCGCCCGGCAGCCCCGACCTGGGCCGCCACTACCGGTCCAACTCCCCCCTGCCGTCCATCCAGCTGCAGCCCCAGTCGCCCTCCGCCTCCAAGAAGCACCAGGCCGTCCAGGACCTGCCGGCCACCAACACCTTCGTGGGGACGGGAGACAACAACTCCACGGGCTCCGACCAATTTTCGGATTACAGCTACAAGGCCAATCCGCCCAAGTACAGCAACAAACAGGTAGGAGACTACGCAAACACGGCGACGTACCACCACACCGACATCCGCTGGACCCGAGGGATGTGGTAGCCGGGCGGGGACCTGGCGCCTTCACCAAAGCTGCACTGATCACTTGCACAGCACCTACACCCAAAAGGCCGATCCCCATTGTTTTGTTTTGTTTCGGTGTGGTTCTGTTCACCATCTCTGTTTTCCTTTTGTCCATTTTTTTGTTTTTTTTTGGTTTTCCACCCCAACACGGACTCCACCAAACGCCCAATGTGAAGCGATGTCTGAGGGATTATTATTATGAGTTTGCCCTTATGTGTGAGAGGATTTGTGGTCGGTATGGTTCTGGTCACCATCTCCATTTTCCTTTTGTCCATTTTTTTGTTTGTTTTTTTCAACACGGACTCCACCAAAAACCCCAAATGAAGCGATATCTGAGTTTGCCGTTTTGTGTGAGAGCATTTGTGGTGACTAAAGTTTATCACCCAGTTCTTATTGTTTATACTTACCTGGCATGTGTCCATATGTTTAATTTCTGACGTTCTTAAGCAGCAATTCTCGCTAAATTACAAAAAAATGTGATGTTATATTGTCAAGAAACGCTGCGTTTCTGAATCTGGCTCGTCGCATGTGGGTCCAAGTTTTCCCTCTTTGTGTTTTTTCATTTCATTGTGTTCCGTTTCACCTTTTCGTGGAGGTTTAAATGAAGGAGGCTGGCATTTTATGAGAAGTGTTTTGGACCCAGAGTTCTTTTTGTGGCCACTGAAAGGTTCACGCTGACGTCCTCATTAAGTGTGATTGTGTTTTTCTTTTCCTTTTTTTTCCGTCCTGGAGGGCTGACTCATTTAAAGCTGCTCTTTATGGCCGGATCAGCTTGTTGAAGTGTGACAAAGAGTGACTCTGAATTCCAGAGTCTGAATTTTTTCATTTTATTATTGTTTCTTGGTTTTCTTTGGCCCAGGAACTAGACAAGGCTGAGCAGCACTTTAAAGTGTTTCCATCCAGTTCGGACCAATTTAAGGTAATTCAAGCTCAGTCAGGGAGCCAAGCGTGAAAAAAGAAAGGAAGCCAATAAGAAGGATGGGGGGACTGGGGTTGTAAAAAGCCACCACACTATGAAGGAAAGGTACACGGGGAGTAAATACAACCATTTCTTAACCTCCGCACTTGCTGTCAGGTCGGCTGAAATACGACTTTTAATTTAGCTGCGTTCGCAATCACTGGGGCTAAGAAGTCAATTGTTTGCACAGATTAATGGCAGGTTATTTTCCAGGCGCCCGCTATTACCCAGAGTGCCTTGCTCTGCTTTATTTGGTGCGCAAAAAGGCTTTGGGGGGGTGGTTTGGGGGGGGTTTGGTCACTTTGACGGATCTGCCGCTGTGAAAATGAAAAGAAAATGTCACGTGCACTGTGAAAAAAACCAGAGACAATGGCCTCCCCGGGTTGTGGCGATGTTGTACATATGTGTTTGTGTGTCCCCGCTTGTGTTTCTCTACCAAAGACTCGCCGTGTTCCCATCGCCATCCCACCCGGCTCGCCGTTTAGCCCGTTAGCGCACGGCCCCACGTGCACTCTGCTCCCTCACACGCCCCCGGGTCATGTACCGTTCCCCCTCAGGGGGGAAATACTTGTACAGTGTTCTTTTTTCTGATGTTTTTTACGGCTCAAGCAGATTTGATTTCAATAAAAATGTTGCTTAAACGTTGAACGTGGCGCTTTCTGTGCATTCACTGGGTCACCACGGGGGGGGAGTGGGAATAATGGGAACACTGGGAGAAGATGTAGAGTCTTCCATCTTCATCTTCCATCATTCACATGTGGAGAGAACATTTGTTTGGCACTAAATGTTTTATGATTTCTCAGATTCTTCCGATTGTTTGTGTTGATTTTATTGAATCCTTATAAAAATAAGCTGATGTGTTCTGAACATAAGAGCACTGCAACATTTTGGGGGGTTGAAACTAATAATTTTTTGGTTTTATTCGGCTCACATTCAAAGTTCTTAGGTCCAAAATACAAAGTGATGCAAGTGATTTTTCCAATAAGTCCCATGAACCTTTAAAAAAGAAAAATATTTACCATCTAGGCCAAACGCAACGGGAAAATTCTGTCATTTTTTGTGGTTCGCTTCAGAAAAAAATGTAAATATTTGAATGAGTTTGGCCATAATAGTTTGATTTTTAGCCAAATAATGAGCTATTTTGATATCTTAACAAATTCAGATTATCATCAAAGGCTAAATCAGCATCATTCAGCGTTTCTGGATTTGATGTTAAAACTAAAAGTTTATAGATTTATTACATATCTGCATAGGTGAAAGTATTTAACAGTGCATAAGAGAAAAGAAAAATGTCAGAAAAGGACTCCCTCCACCCCGTTATCATCCCTGTGAACTTTGTCATCACTTGACATTTTGATGCTATCAACAGGTTATTATGCAAATGATCCCAGAGCTCCAGTTTACTCTGCTCAGGTGTCAGATGTTAGCATGCTAATGTGCGTATCTGAAATCAAAAGCTTTTCAATGTGCTCCCACATTAAGTCGATTCAATTTTAATTTCAGTTATAACTCTGAATCGTCTTAGTTTTTAACAGAAATCTGCTAAATTCAGGACTTCCTCCATCTCAGCTCAGCTTTCTGCCTCTTTTTAGCAGATGTTAGCATGCTAATTACTTATCTAAAATCAATAGCTTTTCAATGTGTTCCCACATTAAGTCAATTCAATTTTAATTTCAGTTTAAACTCTCATCGTCTTAGTTTTTAACAGAAATCTGCCAAATTCAGGACTTCCTCCGTCTCAGCTCAGCTTTCTGCCTCTTTTTATCAGATGTTAGCATGCTAATATGCTTATCTAAATCAATAGCTTTTCAGCATGTCTCCACATTAACTCAATACAATTCTTTTTATTTGTGAATCATCTCCGTTTGTGCCCAAATTCAGGACTTTCCATCAACCTTAACTCTGCTTTCTGGGCAGATGTCAGCACTATTTGTGCTAATCTGCTAGCATCGCTAGCCCCGCAGGGCTGCCGCCGTCCTGATCCAATTAGGGCTATTTATATGGCTCTGTTTTCTGTTTGCTGGGACTGAAAGTCCAGCGGACAGTAAATGGAGTTATAAAACCTCAATTGAAAGCAGTGACACTGTTTACAGACGTGTCCTTCAGCCAGACATGTTTTCTCTCCATAAACACCGAGTCATTTTGTCTGAGTCTGTCCCCCCGGACCCACCTGCCGACCAACCACCTGTGAGCGCTCAGCAAACACACGCCTGTGGACTTTAGCCTCCGAGAGGCGGCCAGGCGGGGGGGTCAGAGGTCAAATACGACTGCAAAACAAATATTTAGCGGGCAGGATTGAGCGGGTCGGAGGTTAACCGCACACCCCCCCTCTTCCTCCTCCTCATCCTCCTCCTCCTCCTCCCGGAATCCACATTAACAGTCCGCCGGCGTCCTTCCTGCTTTCCACGCTGACCATCTCGGCCGTTTCCACGGCAACGCGGCAGCCTTTTCTGTGTGTGTGTGTGTGTGTGCGTGTGCTGACTCAGAGCCGAATCCGACACAATCCCTCCCTCTGTGGAGAGCTGTGCCCTTTGGACGGGGAGAGGAGGGCTGCCTCTCAGCCCGCGTTAGCTCCAAACCCTAACGCGTTAGCTCCAAACCCGCGTTAGCTCCAAACCCTAACGGGTTAGCTCCAAACCCTAACGCGGTAGCTACAAACCCGCGTTAGCTCCAAACCCTAACGCGTTAGCTCCAAACCCGCGTTAGCTCCAAACCCTAACGCGTTAGCTCCAAACCCTAACGCGTTAGCTCCAAAAACTCCATATGTCCAAAATACACCAATGAAATCATCAAATACGACTCTAGCTTTGCTCATTTATTTACTTTACCACATTTTTATCATTTAAAAGACCTATTTTGCCATTGTAGTGTTTCCTTTTTCAAGTCTATATTTCTTACTATTATAGAATTATTACTATTATATTACTATATTAATATTTTCCTTATTGATATCCAACACAAATTTCAGTTAAGCAACTTATTTTCATTTGTTTATCTATCTATCTATCTATCTATCTATCTATCTATCTATCTATCTAT